TTTGTTAAATAAACTGTTGAATCTTTTCACAGAATTTTTCCGGATTTTTTTCCTCCGGATTTATATTTTCCAAATTATTTTTTTTCCGGATTTTTTCCTCCGGATTTTTTCTTCCGGATTTCGGGACAATACCGTCAATAACATATCCTTCGATAGAGAGTACTGCTTTGCGCATGTCTATATGAATTCCTCTTTTCTTTGTTTATTATACTACATACTTCAGAATTTTTTTTCTTCGACTCATTTTCATTCATTTTTCAAAAGAACTAAAGCATTATCGTATGTTACTGTACATCAAAAAGAGTGTGTGTTGGCTCTCGAATATTTATTATATGTATTACGCTTTGTTTTTATTACTTTTCATTGTGTTTGCAACAAAATAAATGTAAATGAAAAAGAGTAATTAAAAGTGAATGAACAATAGCGCATTGACTAGCAGTGATAAAAATCAAGAGAAGAACCGATATACTTGAACGTATGAGTTGATAATGAGACAACAGAGTAATTTGTACTTGATATATCGAAAGGAAAGCTTTTTAACGTGTCTTACCCTATACTACGGGGTCTGAAAAATACTAAAAAGACATACCTGTTTATTCACTCAACAAAGGAAACAGAAACTGAGAAATCTTATTGGAATTGATTAGTTTTCATGTAAGAACAATTGAAATGGTATTAATTTAGCTGCAGTGGAGGCTTGACTACCAATTTAAGGATCTACCAGAATGGGATGTACAGAGAGATTTCACAATCACACTCATGAAATTCATTATTTTCTTAGTTCATTATTTTAATTCAGGGGTCTACGAAACTTGCGTATGAGATGAAAATTTATAGTAATTATTATTGATATTCCGAAAGACAGTAAAAATACAAAGAGATAACAAAAGAAACAAGTTTTCTATAGTTATTTCAAGATCACAAATATTAGGTTGTTACATAAGTTCTGCACGTTTGGATCATTAGAATTATATCACCAACATAAGACTACATTTTAAAGAGAGTAACTATATATTCTGATAGCGCTCGGCATTGTCTATCATCCTGTCTTTTCTAAAGAAATGGTTTACTGTATACATAAAAATTTTTAAAACGCGCAAGGAAGGGACAAAAAATGCAGTTCGTAGGAATGTTAGGGTGAGGGTGTCTTCACTATACTGAAAATATTTTTCAGCAAATAAATGCAAGTTAAAACTTATATACACCAGATGATAGAGAATGCCGAGCGCTATCAGAATATATAATTACTTTTCTTAAAATGCAGTTTTATGTTGGTGGTATAAGTCTATTGATCCAAACGTGCAGAACTTATGTACCAACCTAATCGTAACAGATTCATTATATGTATGTATACGAAAATGACAATTAAAAGTTTTATGATTTCCACAACGCCAATAAGTTTTTGCATCAGTTCGACGATCTTGAATATCTAATAAAACATCCAATATCATTAACGAACGACCTTTTGTAGTGGTAATGAATGTGATAGAGGTAGACATATTTAACAAGAATTGATAATGAACTATTTCGTATGTGAGTGACCATCTCTCGTATCTAGGACACATTTGTTCTGAACATGAGCACATTTTAATTAGATCAAATAATCAAACCGACTACGTCTACTCATTACAGTTTATGATTGATTAGATTATATAATTTCTTATTTGAAAATAGGAATTTTTATCTCGTGCGCAAGTTTCGGGTTCCCTTAATTCAGTTATACTCTATTTCTATTTAGTGTTTGTGAAGTTTACATGAACAATCCTCTTAAAAGAAAAGCGAATTTCAATATTGATTATCCTTTTGAAAGATTATTAAATGATAGTCAAGTTATACGTGATTTATCGATACAACGAGATGTTAATATTGGTTATTTCTACAATGCAAGAGAAGATTCTATCATACGCCAAAGACCATTTCAGAATGACATCATAAGTAAAACTTTAAAATCCGATACCGTATATTGCCAAGTATTCCATGGTAACCAACTCCAAGCTGAAAAGCTCCTTGATGAAATTGGTACCGATTATGATTTATGGCTGAGTTTAGTATTAAATATTATTTCTATAGAAGGAATCAATGTATTATCAGATTCAGCATTTAGTGTTAACAAAAATACTCGAATAATTCATTATTGTTACATAGCTAAAGAACAATGTATTATTGATGACATTCGCAAAGTTAAATCGAAAATACGAAGAGCAACAGTAAATCAACATCCAACGCATGTTGTTACTGGTATTAGAACAGGCGTTCGAGTGGTTATTATATTAGAATTATCCACAGAGGATAGGGCGAATGATGCGTTAAATTTAATAATTGACACATTAAGAAATAATAATTTCAATATGTTGAAGGACAAGAAAAATTTGTTATCTTACCTACTTTTCAAAAAAGTATTTTCAAATATACAGGAACTAACTGGAGTCAAAACGATATTTCAGTTATGCAAACGAATAATTGAAACGAACCAGTTAGTCGATGATCATCGTCCCATACAATATTTTCTTTGTCCTATTCAATCATTTTGTGTACATTCTGCAAATAAGGCAGTGATTTATGCACCGCTGAATCAAAACAATATCATGACAATAAAACAATATTTATTCCCTTTATGTGTGAAAATAATAGTGTTACGAACATTTATTAATTCAGAAACAGTCGAATCATTTGATAAAGAACTCACTTCATTATATCATGAAATTCGAGAAGATATTCAAATCATCAATGAAAATTTGTTAACTGGAATCAATCCAATTGATAAATTATATTTAAAATTCCATTACGGAATACTAAATGAGCGAGGAATATATGAAATATCGGTCAGAAGAGTCGAAACTTCATTAAAAGAACAAATACTTTGTTATCTTCAATGTCTTCAGCTATTCAAATACAAAATAGAATTTATTAAACAACTAGAAAAACAAAATATAAAATATTTGAATATGGAAAATGTGTCAATTCAACAAAATGAGAACCTAATTGAAGAACTGCGAAAAATAATTCAGCCACAAAAAGAAGAGCTCGTTTTCTGTTGTACTGAACAGTTACTGAATGAAAATTTACTGAAATGGAACCGATTCAGTTTCAAATGGATGAAAATGTACGCAAAATATGGTATATGAGATTTAACATATGCCGATTTTTCTTATCAAAGTTCATTTATGTTATCAAAAATAAAGATATTACTAATCGATTCATTGAGTTCACCACGTCGATCAAAATCATTAGTGATAGAACCCCGTAAACCATCAAACGCACGACAAAAATTCGGCCAAGAAGAAAGAACTCCTCGTTTCGTTGAATTGAAAAGAAAACCTCGTTCAAATTTCTCGTCTAATTCTATGAACTTTGAAACATCACACCAATGACTCGAAACTACACATAGCCGATCAACAACACATACAAGAAGAGAGTGTGGGTGTGGGTGTGGGTGTGCAATGTGACTGAAGAAAAGTTACATAACCACCCACACCCTCATATACATTTCGATGAAATTATTTGTTTTCATGAGTCATATCATATTTGTTTTCGATTGTTTGAGTAGGCATCATTTTGAAATTGTTATTTTGATAATTTTTACAGATTTTCATACAGATCTTGTTTTTATTTTTCTATTTCTATTTAAAGTACCCTTTAAAATTCGATAGTTTTCCAGTAGAATACGATACATTTTCTATTTCGATATCCAGCTTAATTATTTTCCTTGAATTATTTTTTTTAGTCATTAAAAACAACATAGTTCATACATAAGTTTAGATACAAATGTATATTACATCGAAATAAGAATAAAATAATGCTGAGTAATTTAATTTATATCTTATTTACTCGAAT